TCTTGAAGAGAAGAAGCCAGCTCTTGAAGAAAAAAAGCCAGCTCCTAAAGATAAAAAGCCAGCTCTTGAAGACAAAAAGTTACCCCCAGGAGCAAAAACAGCAGCTCTAGAAGAGGAACAGAAACGAGGCCTGCTTAAAACTCGAGCACAAATTTCTGAAAAAAAACCTGAAGGCAGAGTGGCTCTGGAGGTGGTGCAAGAAAAGAAACAACCACAGATCAAGATGGAAGATTTACCGTCTGGCACGCCTCAGAGCTTGCCTAAGGAAGATGTTGGAATGACTCAAAAATTAAAAGAACAGCCACAGGCAGCATGCACAGCAAAGCCTGATCAGGTGGAAACTGGGAAGGAAAAAACAGTAAGTTATGTTCTCTTTCCCAACTTTGCACAGTCTTATACATGTCATTGACCGATGTCTACCTAAGTACACAGAGTGCTTAATGCTCATAATGTAAGTGAAAGCCTTCAATTAATGGCATTTTCAGAAAAGTGTAACCATTGTTTGCTAAAATGCAGAACTTTGGCTTCCTGACAGGTTAATCTAATTTAAATAAAGTACAGATATAAAATTTATTTTTCTAGCTTTAATGCCTGTCGAATAATTTACAAAAATCTGTGGAATGATAAAGAAGATTTCATATAATTTTAGATTATTGCTGTTTCTTTGCACTGTGAACATAGACTCAGTATCCCCTTTAACATAAAATAATGTGTCTTTAAATTTGTTTACTTAGCCAGTTGATTATGCAAGACTCAACGGGTTTCTTCTCACTTAGAGCCTTTTTAGGGTGCGGTCAACCACAGCATGACTGTGGTTAAAACAGAAGACATATGGCTAAAATTCAAGAGAAAGGTCATTTTTAAAAAGTTTATTTTAGTATTTAGCATGAAATTAATATATTTTGTTCAGAATTTTATTCAGTATGTTTAATATTGAAGGGTTATTAATAATTAAGCATAATCTGGAATTATATATATTCTTTTCTTTAGTGGAAACTTTTAAGATATCTTAATAGCTTAACTGATACTTTCGCAAGCAATGGTATCAACTTTAGAGGAATTCTGAAGTCTTTTTAGAGCTATGAGAGATCTTATAGTATCTGATTGAATAATTTTAATTTAATGAAATGATCTAATTTAATGAAGATTTAATGAAATGATTTATTGGAATTAAACTTAATATTAGAACTCTAATTAATACCTACAGTCCATCCCGACTCTGGATCACTTTGTTTATAGTTTAACTACATGGTTACTAACTCATCTCTAGTGCATGATGCATCACTCATTAAATAAATCCTCAAGTTTCCTAAGCAGGTGTCCATGTATTCTCTATTTTTATGGCTGGATCTAGCTACCACCACCACCCTTTCTTCTCCTAGCTAACTGCTTTGCATAACCACTTCTCCCTCTGTGAAACTGTCCTTGGCTTTCATGAACCTTCCCTTTTTGTTTTCTTTTTGTCTTTCTGATCACCCACTAATAGTTCTACTTTGGCTATCTCCATTGCTTTTTCTTTTCAAGTCACCATATGATGGTGTCTTTCTTTGAACTCTGTCTTCTTTTCTCTTAGGGGAGCCACATGAGCAATTCCTAAATCCACTTGTGCACCTTCTGCCCCTTTTGAGTGTTAGACCTGTGTTTCCAAAAACTGAGTAGATCATTTCACTTCAAAGCCTCACTGCAAACTGGAACTCAGAGTGTTCAAATCTTACCCACTTTCTATGGAAGCAGTTTCTTATTCTGACTTTCTGTTTCTGACAATGGCATCATCATTCATCATGTCTCTGGTCTCCCAGTCACTAACCTGAGTAATCTGAGGATACCCTGGGCTCTCCACATCGCACTCTTGTCTGTTAGCTCCTATTCCTAAGGACAGTATCCTTCTTATGGCCTTCGTTACCTTTTACCGATAATGTGAGTAATCTAATTACTAGTCATTGTGCCTTCTCTTTTTCCCTTTTCCAGTATGTAGTTATCAGATAATTATTCAAGATTCAGATAATTTAACTCTGCCACTCAGGTATTTCTAATGATTCTCTATTATTTATTAAATATAATCTAAACAAGAAGTATCCAAATATTTGGTTAATGCACTACTTTTTACTTTATTTTACAAATGTGTCAGTTTTTATCATTTCCTTTTATTACTACATTTTCTTTTATTGAACAACCTCGATATGTACATACTTATTTAGCTGTAAATTAAATCTATGTGCTGTTGCTAACATTATTTGCAATATAAAATATTCAGAAATAGAAGTTTGTGAAATAAGCTAAAATCATCATTTTTTACTATATTTATTTAAGTATAGATACATTTGATCGCAGCAAAATATGATTAATAATAGTATTTTCAAGAGAGCATTGGTTGACTGTGCTTCAGTGTTTAAAATCTTGATTTGAAATTTATAATAGAATTTTTTGAAATTTAACTCCTAATTCAGTTTGATATTTTGACATTTAGTTTTAATGACTCCATAACAAAAAAGATAATCTACAGGATATGCTGGAAATAGAAGTGTATCGAAGGTTTTACTTGTCAGATCTCACTACCTGTTGTCTAACTTTGAGACTGAAAACTATTTTTTTTATGTTGTGGAGGTTCCACAAATAAATGTTAATCTAACTTTATATCAATCATTTGTTCTTGCTAATTATGACAAAATGTGGTAGTTTTAAATATACTTTTGTTTAACAAATGATCCTAAAACCCACTGGTGTTCTTTATCTGGACAGCCTATTAAGAGATTAAAATACACTTTTTAAAGTTTATTTGAAAAGGCAGATATGGCAGTTTTTAAAAATGCTGTGTCATTTTGTGTAGCATAATCACATGATGATTTCTAGTTCTCTGTCTTCAAAGGACTGTTTCCTTATCCAAATTTTTAAATTTTGTTCTTTAATTAAAAATTTTTAATCAAAGTATAGTTGATTTACAATGTTGTGTTAGTTTCAAATATATAGCAAAGTGATTCTGATTCAGGTATATAGATATAGATATAGATATGTATTCTTTTTCAATTTTGTTTCCATTATGGGTTATTATCCCTGTGCTATATAGTAGGTCCTTGTTGTTTATCTGTTTGATATATAGTGGTTATATATGTTAATCCCAAACTCCTAATTTATCCCTCTACAGCCTCCTTTCCCCTTTGGTAACCATAGGTTTGCTTTCTATGTCTATGAGTCTGTTTCTGTCTTGTAAATAAGTTCATTTGTGTCATTTTATTTTATTCCACATATAAATGATATCATATGATATTTGTCTTTATCTGACTTATTTCACTCAGTATGATAATCTTTAGGTCCACCCATATTGTTGCAAATGGCATTATTTCATTCTTTTTATGGCTGAGTAATATTCCATTGTGTATATATACCACATCTTCTTTATCCATTCATCTGTCTGTGGGCATTTAGGTTGCTTCCATGTCTTGACTATTATAAATAGTACTTCTGTGAACCTTGGAGTGCATGTATCTTTTTGAAGTAGAGTTTTTTTCTGAATATATGCCCAGGAGTGGGATTGCTGGATCATATGGTAACTCTATTTTTAGTTTTTCTGAGGAACCTTCATACTGTTCTTCATAGTGGCAGAACCAATTAGCATTCCCACCAGCAGTGTAGGGGAGTTCCTTTTTTTCCACATCATCTCCAGCATTTATTATCTGTCAACTTTTTAGTGATGGCCATTCTGACTGGTATGAGGTAATGCTGCATTGTTGTTGTGATTTGCGTTTCTCTAATAATTAGCAATATTGAGCATCTTTTCATGGACCTGTTAGCAATCTGTATGTCTTCTTTGGACAAATGTCTGTTAACATCTTCATCCCATTTTTTGATTGAGTTCTTTTGTTTTCTTGTTTTTTGTTTTTTTAAAATTAAGTTATGTGAGCTATTTGTATATTTTGGAAATTAATCCCTTGTCAGTCACATCATTTGCAAATATTTTCTCTCATTCAGTAGGTTGTCCTTTAATTTTGTTTATGGTGTCCTTATCTGTGAAGAACCTTTTAAATTTAATTAGATCCCATTTGTTTATTTTTGCTTTTATTTTCATTACTCTAGGAGCCAGTTCAAAAAACATATAGCTGCGATTTATTGCAAAGTGTTATGCCTGTGTTTTCCTCAAGGAGTTTTATAGTATCCAATCTTACATTTAGGTCTTTAATCCATTTTGAGTTTGTTTTTGTATATGGTGTTAGAGAATGTTCTAATTTCTTTTTTTTACATATAGCTCTCCGGTTTTCCCAGCACCACTTATTGAAGACGTGATCTTTTCTCCATTGTGTATTCTTGCCTCCTTGTCATAGATTAAGTGACCATAAGCGTGTGGTTTTGTTTCTGGACTTTCTGTCCTGTTCCAATGATCTATGTACCATACTGTTTTGATTACTATAGCTTTGTAGTGTAGTCTCAAGTCAGGATGTATGATTCCTCCAGCTCCATTCTTGCTTAAGTTTGTTTTGGCTATTCAGGGTCTTTTGTTTTTCCATACAAATTAAAACAATTTTTTTTTGTTCCAGTTCTGTGAAAAATGACATTGGTAATTTGATAGGGATTGCATTGAACCAGTGTATTGCCTCAGGTAATATGGCCATTTTAACAATATTGATTCTTTTAATCCAAGAACATGGTATATCTTTCCATTTGTTTGTCTCATCTTCAATTTCTATTATCAGCATCTTACATTCTTGGGAGTACCAGTCTTTTGCTTCGTTGGGTTGGTTTATTCCTAGGTATTTTATACTTTTTGATGAGATGGGAAATGGGATTTTTTTCCTTAATTACTTTTTCTCATATTTTGTTGTTACTGAATAGAAAAATAACATATTTCTGCATATTAATTTTGTATCCTATAAATTTACCAGTTTCACTGATGAGCCCTAGTAGTTTTCTGGTAGTGTCTTTAGGATTTTCTGTGTAGTATAATGTCGTCTGTAAACAATGACAGTTGTACTTCTTTTTCAACTTGGATTCCTTTTATTTCGTTTTCTTCTCTGATTGCTGTGGCTAAAAGTTTCAAAACTGTGTTGAATAAAAGTGGCTAGAGTGGACATTCTTGTCTTCTTTCTGAAGTGCTTTCAGCTTTTCAACATTAAGAATAATGTAGCTGTGTGTTTGTCATATATGGCCTTCATTATATTTGAAGTGTGTTCCCTCTATGCCCACTTTCTGGAGAGTTTGTATCGTAATTGATGTTGGACTTTATCAAAAGGTTTTTCTGTGTCTATTGAGATGATCATATGGTTTTTATTCTTCAGTTTGTTAATGTAGTGTATCACATTGATTGATTTGCAGATATTGAAAACTCCATGCATCCCTTGGGTAAATCCCACTTGATCATGGTGTATG